AGTAGCTAAAAGGCAAATGCCATTTTGGGCTGTGTCAATAGAAGTATAGTGTTGAGATCACATGAAGTGATGGTATTGCTTTACTCTGTGCTAGTTAAACCTCTCCTAGAGTATTGTGTTCAGTTTTGGGTACCACAATGTAAGAAGGATATAGACATGATGGAATGTGTCCAGAGGAGGACCTTTGACTACTTCATCCTTGTATCAGGGTCAACATTGAAAACCCTGGCCTTTACTGTTGCATAAAAGGGAAGAGTCATAGAATCACAGACTTAGAAGGGACCATTTAGGCCATCTAGCCCAACTCCCTGCTCAATGCAGGATCAGTCTAGAGCATCCCTGATGAGTGTTTGTCCAGCCGGTGCTTTAAGGCTGCCAAGTGAGGTGGAGCTCAAGTCACCACCTCCCTCAGCAGATAATTCCACCGCTGAACTACTCTCACTGTAATAAAATAAAATAAAATCCTAATAGCTGGTAAACCCATTATTGCGAGAACTTTGGCATATGTTTATTTTATCACTGGAATAACCTCAGTTATTATTTAATGGTCTGGAGAAACTATGTGGATACTTAAAGATCTATTGACTGTAAATACTGATGTGAAAACACCCCCATGCTTGACCCAAAACTGTTCTAAGAGATCTAGTTTGGTGTAGTGGTTAGGAGCATGGACTTTAATCTGGGAGAACCAAGTTTGATTCCCCACTCCTCCACATGCAGCTGCTGGTGTGACCTTGGGTCAGTCATAAGTTCTTTCAGAGCTGTTCTCTCAAGGGCAGTTCTCAAGAGAGCTCTATCAGCCCCACGTACCTCACAGGGTGTCTATTGTGGGGAGGGGAAGGGAAAGGATAGTGAAGGGCAGGGTATCAATCCAATCTCTTCTTCTTCTTCTAAAATATTGAATGGGCATTTGCAAGCAGTTGCTAGAATGTTTGCAAAATATGTACATTTCACATGGAGCTGCCTCTCTTCCTCTGTCCTGGGTCACCCTGTTAAGGCAAAACTTGGGGAGAAGAGTCAAGAAGCCAGCTGCAGGGAATAGCTAACAGATGAGAGGCTCTGAATAGAACCTACTTTTCCCTATAAATTATTCTTCCCAGTCTTCCACAGCATGACATTGTGATGGAGGTGAAAGGACAGCTTATATATACTCCAGAAAACTAGAAAGTTCCAAGCATGCATTGGCAGTGGCTATTGTCCACCTGTCCATGCGGCAATGAATGCCATCAATTGCACAGATGCAAATACACTCGAATTGCTGTTCATTTTAGACTGTGAACCATTATCCATTTAAGCACAGAGATACTCAGCTTGAGAGAGCAAGCAGAATAAGATTGATTTTCAAACATGGGAAATCACAGCATCATTAATTATAAGTGATTTAGAAAACATATGTTTCTAGAATGAAAAAATTAAAATGCTAATCTTCTAAAATTTTTCATCATTTATTGGGGGCTTGTTTGCTACTGATAAATGGGGCATGCTTTTACAAAGGGCTGAATGAGCAAAAAAAAAATACATTCCCAGGTTTATTGGAAACTGAATCTACTCTTGACAATTATTAACATGGATATAAGGACAACATTTGGTGATCCAAAATGGAAAAAGAAAAGAAGGGAAAGGCTTGCTTTTCAATCTTTAATTAGGAATTCTGATAGATGTCCCATTCTATCTCTCTATTTCTGCACCCCCTGAATTTCTTTCTATATTCTTCCATAAGTATTCAAGCTTGAAAATAATCTTGGCATGTACGCCAACAAGTTTTGATGTGGTTAGTACTCCACCTTTCACTACCTGAAGGAGTCTCAGAGCAGCTTACAATCCCTTTCCCTTCCCCTCCCCACAACAGACACCCTGTGAGGTAGGTGGGGCTGAGAGAGCTCTGAAAGAACAGCTCTTGAGAGAACAGCTCTGAAAGAACTTGTAACTGACCCAAGGTCACACCAGCAGTTGCATGTGGAGGCCTTTTCTGCCCTGCCCCTGGCCTGGTGGAACATGCTCCCATCTGAGATCAGGGCCATGCAGGACTTATTACAGTTCCACAGGGCCCGTAAAGTGGAGCTGTTCTGCCAGGTCTTTGGCTGAGGCAGTGGATGTTCAACCACCTCGGCCCCTCCTGTCCACAGTAATTTATTATTTGATTAACATCCTGCAGGAGGTGCTATGGACTGCCCCGGAGTAGTTGTTTTTGTCTCCGTTCTGATCAATTTAAATTTGGTTTTAATTATATGTCCGACATACCTATGGGACCACCTTTCCCCACATATACCCCAGGGAGCACTACGGTCTGGGTCTCAAAATCGGCTGACCCTCCCTGGCCCGAGGGAGGCCAGGTTGGCCACTACCAGGGCTGGGGCTTTTTCGGTGGCGGCCCCTACCTGGTGGAACGAGCTCCCAGAGGAGATCAGGTCCCTGCAGGACCTTTCACAGTTCCACAGGGCCTGCAAGATGGAGCTCTTCCGCCAGGCATTTAATTAGGGGCTGCCACTACTGCAGAACCCGTCCCAGGGCTTTTAACACTGAGCTGATCACGAGCAGAAGATCACTTGAAAACAACTGGGCAGTGGAAATCCTTTCTGATAATGCACCATCTTGGTTAATCTTAATTATCAATAAATAACAACTGTGCACTGAAAAACCCGCACAAGAGCTTACAAAAAGAGACTTCAACACAATAAGTAATTCGACACATGTAATCCATCATAGGAAAAATTGTTGTTTTATTGTTGTTGTTGTTAATCTTAATTATCATCAGCACTTTATGTTGTTGGCTTTACTGTTGTATGATTTAAATCTGTATTTATGTATATAACTATGTATGGAAGCCGCCCTGAGCCTGCTTGCAGGGAGGGTGGGGTATAAGTTTGATAATAAATAAATAAAATAAAAATGTTTATTTTATATGTTGTGAGCCTCCCTGAGCCCACTTGTGGGATAGGGCAGGATATAAACTTAAATAAATGAATAAATTAAGAGATCAAAGTGCACCACACCCTCACTGGGCAAGTTTGCAATGAGTTGAGCGCCATGTGGAGATTAATGGATGATTATTCAGTGGGATGATAGCATAGTGAAGAGAGATTGGACTGAGGTTGGCGGACCGCTGCCTGGCCACGAAACTTGCAGGTAGTCTTAAGCAAACCGTGTTTTTTTTTTTCTTTTTGTCTATCCTATCAAACATGGTGCTGCAAAGATCCAATCGTGGCATGGCATATGCCACGCCAAACTCCATAATACAGTCAGTACATTGAATATTCTGTTTAAATGTATTTCAGTACCTAATTTTCACTATGTGTGTGCACATGTGTTCTGTTTCTCTTGTTCTTGACTCAGAATGCATCTTTTAAAACATTTTTTTTTTAATTTTCCGTACTGGTTTGTTGCAGTCTAATTCAGCTGGATGAAAAACAATCTAAAGTGAATAAACTCATCGAACCAATTAACAAGTGTTAATCATCAACTTTAGTAGGCTGAGTCTCAACAGATTTCTGCCAAATTTTCTAGGCCAGCAATTTTTTTAGTCTGCGTGTGATGGGGGAAGGGATGGCTGCTTGGGAAGGTGAATCTCAGATATGCATGCCAAACAGCATAATGACAGAGCAAACCATCCTCGTCTATGAAATATCTGAGCTCTTTAAAAAATGCAGAGAGTTGTTTGCAGCAGTTTCAAATATAAAAGCAGGAAAAAAGCAGCTCTGAGTGATAAAGCATCTGAGTCAATACCTTCAGGATCCCGAAAGGTTAAAATTCTAGCTAGCTTCCTCCCCCTCTCTGCTATCTACTATATTAATGGCCACCCAAAGCCATCCGAAAAGGAATACATTATATTATAGCACTATGGGAAGATACTCAGGCTGTGTGTGTGTGTGTGGGGGGGATTTCTGAGGAGGAAAGTATTCCATAGCTCTGGGTGCAGCCAGACACTGATATTACCTCACTCCATGACTCAGAGTGCATGCCCTCTTGAAGTAATGGGCTACAGGATTCTCCATTTGGCACAAGTACCTCTGAAGTCAACACTGGTGCCAGAAAACCTCTGCACCAATGTCACATTATCCCTTGTATTACCAGCAGTATTCTGTACATTCTAGGAAACCCAATCCTATCTGGAGCTTTTCATCTGAGGCAGGGGCTGTGATGATTGTGGAATAAAATCAAAATGGACATTCTTTAAATCTTGCCCCTACAAGGAAGCAGATTTGCAGTGGATAAATAACTGCAGAGCCTGGTGACTTCTATGGATCTTTTTTAAAAAATCTAATAGCTCGTTCTGTTTTCAAGAAGTGCAAAGTTCCATGCAGGACACAGCACTGGCTGTTAGACAAGTCCCTCCCAGGAAGCACAGTGCTAATAGAATGTACAAAACAAACAGAACCATGATTGTGTGACTGTAATACTGTGGGTTAGTCTTTCTGCTGTGACCTGGATAGCCCAGGTGAGCCCAATCTCATCAGATCTTGGAAGCTAAGCAGGATCCGCCATTGTTAGTGTTTGGATGGGAGACCACCAAGGAAGTCGAGGGTCACTGTGCAGAGGCAGGCTATGGCAAATCACCTCTGAATGCCTCTTACCTTGAAAATCCTATGGGATCACCATAAGTTGGCTGCAACTTGATGGTACTTTTCACTACTCCAGACTTCCTACCTAATGTACATTTCATATTTCAGTTGTTATCTGGGACGATTTACTTACAGACCTGTTTCTGATGAAATCAACTTTTACTACTAAGTCCTACTGTAGTGACTTGTATTTTAATAAAAGGGGAATGAGGGAGTTATGATCTAAGGAAGCTTTTTCCATAAAGAAAAACCTAATGCCAGCTTGTTCAAATGGCTACATGAATTTTATTTCCCTTCAGTAGTGACTTGTGAGTCACATTTATGTAGTACTCATTGAAAGTCCTTCTCTGCAGGCCTCCAGAATAAAAAGTAATCCTGCTTTGTAACGGAATTTTTTGGGAAAAAAACACTAATATTTCTCTTCCTTGATTTTATTTTAAGATCCTGACTTCAAGGACCTTGGTGTTTTGAAACCATTGCCAGGTCGGTATGTTCAATGTTTCATAACACTTGGAAGACTCAAGTTTTGCTTGCAATAATAATAATAGAAATATTTCCTGGTTCCTTGGGTTTGAATGTTTTTTTGTTATTATACTTCATTTTTTTCAGTTTGTGAGTTTGAGATGGGAGGATCTGAAGGAATTGTGGAATCTCTGCAGATTGGGAAGGAAGGGAAAGCTTCTGAAACTGAGGCAGTAGACTGTAAATGGTACATCCGAGCGCCACCACGATCCAAGGTCAGTCCTGTTCCCTACTTTGATTTGGGACTTAATTTAAGAAAGTGACTTGACTAATACAGCAACTTTGTACAGACAGGCTTTGCTTAATAAGGTTTGCAATGCTAAACCTGTAAACTATTATTTGCCTTTCAGGGGGGTGGAGGTGGAAGCAATTTGTCACTGTACAAAGTAACCTTCACTTTGCTATAAATAATGATTTGTGCTGCAAAATAGGTAGGTCATTTTGTGCTATAGGAAGTTTCTAGGTTTGGTACCTCCCTAGTCATCAATTTATAGCCCCAAAGTACACAGTCTTTTCACATTATATGCACAGTATTCAAATATAATTCATTCAGGTCTGTACTTTTTTTGTGGGTTTTTTGCATTCTGTTGGTACTCGAAGAACAATATTTTATTACTGGGGGAAATTATTTACCAGTAGCATTTACATAGCATGCAAAACACTTTGTGTACCTTATTTTGTAGTCCTTACAACAACCTTGAAAGGTAGGTTAGTATGATTATCCCCTATATATCGAAGATAAGAGGTGGTAATAGCTGAGGTAAACTGAGCTGAGCAAGTGGTCACAGTGGAGGCAAGTTCATAAGTCAGTCAACTGCCAGTGTAAGGGCTATGTGTAATAGAAAGCCCGTTTGGTGTAGTGGTTAGGAGCACAAACTGTAATCTGGGAGAATTGGGTTTGATTCCCCACTCCTCCACATGCAGCTGCTGGTGTGACCTTGGGTCAGTCACAAGTTTTTTCAGAGCTGTTCTCTCAAGGGTAGTTCTTGAGAGAGTTCTCTCAGCCCCACCTACCTCACAGGGTGTCTGTTGTGGAGAAGGGAAGGGAAAGGAGATTGTAATCCACTCTGAGGTTCCTTCAGGTAGTGAAGGGCAGGGTATAAATCCAATCTCCTCCTCCTCCTCCTCCTCCTTCTATAGATGAAGGGTGTCCTCGTAGGGGTGTATTGAATAGTGATAAGCAACACCTAGCCTGCACCCACATCATTTAGTGAACTTTATATTTTATTTTATATTTAATTATTTTGAGTACCACTCAAGTAAATAAAATGTAAAGAAGGAAGGAAAAAAATGTGAGGAACACAAGTACCCTCTTTTCTTACATAAATGTTCCATGTCTTTGAGATCTTTGATAAAGTTATACTTCTGCTCCCTAGCACTGAGGGATATATATCTATTATTTGTTGATATTTAAATCTGGTTAGCCCAGAAGCAAGTCTAATGCTGCTCCCCCCAACTCCCATTCATTATGTGGGCTTTAGTACCACAAATAATTTTTTTTTCTAAAAATCACAATTTTCCCAGTTTCATCCAATTAACATTTCTGGTTTGCTATACAGCTCTGGGATTTTCACTACTGATTTTGCATTTGGCAATGGCAATTATTTGGATCCAGCCCTTGCTTTCTGGCTCTGGCAAAGCACTTCTTCTGGCTATCGGGGTGAGGAGGTCTGAATGGGGACTTTCCCATAGGGTGACAGAATATCTGCTACCTTTAGAGAGCTGTTGCACGCAGTACAGATCCCCAGTGGCATTCCTTTACAGGGTTTGGAGGGATGGGTCTCAGGTAAACAGGTAAAACAGCTCTGTGCCTCTTAAGAGGAGGCTTACCTTTCTTGTGTGAGAGGGGAAGGCAAGAGGGCAGGTGTAAGTTGCAGTGTTCCCTTGAAAAGGGCTTGGGAGTGGAACCAATCAAGACTGCCCTGGTTACTCAGTCCAGTCAGCTCAGGAGAGGTGCTGGTGAGAAGAGGAAGGACCAGCTGCTTGCAAACGTCCTCCCCTCTCCATCTGAGGTTAGGTGGCAGCAACCCAAGCAGATGTGGTTGGAAGAGAGGTCAATTCAGACCCTGATTAGCCCTCCCATGGCACATCTCCACATTGCACCCAGAACTGTTTCGGGGGGGGGGGAGTTAACTGAATCTCAGGGAAATTCCTTTATGAGTTTCCCATTGGCATTCCGTCCAATGGCTTTAAATCATAACCTCAGCAGGCCATATAGCAAAAGTCTAATGCTTTCTTTGGGAGCTGCGGTGGCTCAAGTGGTTAAGACGCTGAACTGCAGGTTGTGGAAGGTCAGTAGTTCAGCAGTTCGAGGCCCGGGTTGCCGCATGACGGAGTGAGCTCCCGTCTCTAGTTCCAGCTCCTGCCAACCTAGCAGTTCGAAAGCAAGAAATTGCAAGTAGATAAATAGGTACCACTTCGGTGGGAAAGTAACAGCGTTCCATGCGCCTTGGTGTTTAGTCATGCCGGCCACATGACCACGGAAACGTCTTCAGACAGTGCTGGCTCTTCAGCTTTGAAACGGAGATGAGCACCGCAACCCTAGAGTTGGACTCGACTGGCTTTCGAGCAAGGGAACCTTTACCTTTACCTAATGTTTTCTTTAATCAGGCAAAGCTGCAGGTGTTTGGGGATCTTTCACCAGAAACATGAGCTAAACGTTGAGCTTTAAGGCTGAGCTTTATCATGTCAGTTCTATTGTACAACAAAAGGAAATATCAGTTATGATATTCAGTTTAAGCTTCTTTTTCATGAGGTTAAACAGTAATATATTTGTACTATGGAGAAAGATTGAAATGCATTAATATAAAATTCATATGTTAACTTTGTAGTGTAACTGCTGTGGTATGCTCTTATAATAAATGAATAACACATACATGTTCTATATTGAGTGGGACCTGGTTACTATTCATACTTATGTTCCTCCTGTTGGAGTCACCATCATTGCTATGGGAAGTACCCATGTGATCCTATTTAAAGACATTATATGGAACATCCATACAGTACACAGGTGACATAGTATTCAGTTATGGGTAGTGCTTTTGCTGCAGTAACTACATTGCAAAGATAACGTATGGGATTATTATTAGGACTCAAAAACAACAGATGCCTAAAATGATAGCCTAGTTTGTATTGTGTGTGTGTGTGTTGCCATCAAGTCACAGCTGATTTATGGTGACCCCACAGAGGGGCTTTCAAGGCAAGTGAGAAGCACAGGTGGTTCACCATTTCCTTCCATGGCCATCTAACTAGGTCTGACCCAGCTCAGCTTGTGAGATCTGATGAGACTGGGCTGTACCATGCCACCTTCTGTCCTAGTTGTATTAGCATGACAAATACTGGCATTAGGACACTTTTGTATCACTTGCATTTTGTAGAGTATCAAAACAGTAAGATACAGAAGATGGTTTCCCCCAATATTAGCTGAAGTACAGTCATGAGAAGCTAGAAAAGATTCTTAAGTGTAAAAACAAGTGGCAACCAAGATCAAGTTAATTCATATCATAGTATTCGTAGGGGTGTGAAAGTTGGATAATGAAGAAAGCTGACAGGAAGAAAGTTGATTCATTTGAAATGTGGTGTTGGAGGAGAGTTTACTGATTCTGTGGACAGCCAAAAAGACAAAGAAGTGGGTTCTAGATCAAGTCAAGCTTGAACTCCCCCTAGAATCTAAAATGATTACACTGAAGCTATCATACTTTGGTAGTTGGTAGTTGGAAAAGAGGAAGACCCAACATGAAATGGATTGACTCAATCAAGGAAGCCATGGTCCTCAGTTTGCTGGACATGAGCAATGCTGTTAACAATAAGACATTTTGGAGGCCATTAATTCATAAGGGTGTCATGAGTTGGAAGTGACTTGATGACACTTAACATACATGCACACACCTGAAGAACATGTTCCACAGGTTATAAGGTGGGATCATGAGGTTATAAGGAAGGACTGTATCTCTCCAGAGCTCTTAAAAATGCTTCCCTGGATCAGTGTTGTTGGTGGTTTATTTGGTTTCTTTTGGGTTGGTTTTTTTTTTTTGGCATTCCAATATGTTTTGGGGCTAGTAATCACATAGATTACTAAAGTTGTTTATTCCCAGGTAATTTACTTTGGTTTACATTAAGTAAACTGTACATTGTCAGTGGCTGTACTTTAGGGGCTTTGTTTACTAGCATTCAGGTGGCAATGTTACGTAAGAAAAAAAAAGTCTCAGGAAACTTCTCCGTACATTCGGGGGGGG